ATTTGGAGGATGTCTCGAGCGAGGCGCTCATTTCAGCACCCCTAAGGGGAGCCGCCAGGGGTGGTTGCACGGGCTCGTTCGCGGCCATTTTGTGGGGATGTCTCAGGCGGTTTGCCTGTTTCTGTGCCCAACATCCTTCGCTTTCGGAGCAGATTTGGAGGATGTCTCGAGCGAGGCGCTCATTTCAGCACCCCTAAGGGGAGCCGCCAGGGGTGGTTGCACGGGCTCGTTCGCGGCCATTTTGTGGGGATGTCTCAGGCGGTTTGCCTGTTTCTGTGCCCAACATCCTTCGCTTTCGGAGCAGATTTGGAGGATGTCTCGAGCGAGGCGCTCATTTCAGCACCCCTAAGGGGAGCCGCCAGGGGTGGTTGCACGGGCTCGTTCGCGGCCATTTTGTGGGGATGTCTCAGGCGGTTTGCCTGTTTCTGTGCCCAACATCCTTCGCTTTCGGAGCAGATTTGGAGGATGTCTCGAGCGAGGCGCTCATTTTCACACCCCAGGTGGGCCAGATTTTGAGGATGTCTCGATCGGTTTGCTTGTTTTGGTGGCCAGGCTCGTGGGCGCAGATTCTTCTCAGGATGCCACAGGAGGCTCCAACAGGCTCCAGGAGGCCCCAGGAGACCACATGAGGTCCCAGGGGCATCAGGAGGCCACAGAAAGACTCAAGAGGCCACAGGATGTCCCAAGAGGCTCCAGGAGGCCCCAGGAAGCTCCAGAAGGCCTCAGGAAACCACAGGAGGCCCCAGGAGGCAACAGGAAGCGCCAGGAGGCCTCGGAAGGCAACAGGAGGCCCCGAGAGGCCCCAGGAGCAGGAGGCCTCAGAAGGCAACAGGAGTGGCTCCAATCCCATGTGTTTTACGTATGCTCCTATCGATTGGGCCTCACCTGGAGCACGATTCTTTGATGTTCTACGTATGTCTCTATAGATGGTCCTTCTCCTGTGTACACAATCCTAAATGTTTTACTCATGTTCCTATGTATTGGGCCTCTCCTGGGGCACGAGTCCTTGGTGTTTTACGCGTGTTCCTATAGATTGCCCTTCTCCTGTGGCTCTAATCCGCAATGTTTTATGTACGTCTGTTGCTATAGATTGCGCCTCTCCTGGGGCACGAAACCTTCCTAGGAGGTCCCAGGAGGTCCCAAGAGGCTCCTGGAGACCCCAGGAAGCCCCAGTAGGTTTCAGGAGGCCCCAGGAGGCCCCAGGCTCATGCACAGAGACGCGCTCGTACTACTGAGGCTCATTCACACTCCAATTCATTCGCAGTTAGATTGATGTCCAGACCGTCACAACTGAAGCCCGTTAATATTCGAAAGCTCTTGCGCCTAGACATTCACGGCGGACAGGTCCATGCGAGTAGATGCACATATGGGGAGCTCCACGCAGTGAATAATTACGGGTCCAGGCCATTCAGGGGTATCTAAAATAGTGCTCCGAGCTGGAACCACGTGTTTTCACGTGTGCGGGCCACCAACGGGGAGGGGGGTATCTAACATGTGGTCGTCTGGGCTCCCCAGCATGGGGGGGGGCACAGGAGCCAGACAAAATAAACGGAGCGACACCAGATGTGTAATAACTTTGCACCGTTTCTTCGGCTGGTGATTTTGAAATTTCCCCGTGGGGTAGCTAACATGGTGGTCCCGAGCTGGAGCCATGTGTTTTCACGTGTCCAGGCCACCGAGGGGAGTACCTAACATGGTGGTCTGGAGCTGGAACCACGTGTTTTCACTTGCCCAGGCCACCTGGGAGGTATCTACCATGGTGGTCCCGAGCGGGAGCCAATCTTTTTGCGTGTCCAGGCATCCCAAGGGGGATGTCTAACATGGTCGTCCCGAGTTGTAACCATGTGTCGTCACGCGTCCAGGTCACCCAGGGGGATATCCAACATGGTGGTCCCGAGCTGGAACCACGTGTTTTCACGTGTCCAGGCCACTTCGGAGGTGTGTACCATGGTGGTCCCGAGCTGGAACCACGTGTTTTTACATGTCCAGGCCGCCCAGGGGGTGGGGGGTAATAATCTAAGGGCCAGGGTAGTCAGGAGGAGACGGGGAAAGTGGGGGAGGAGGAGAACGTCAGGAGGAGATACTGAAGTCGGAGAAGTATGTCGGGAGAAGAAGAAGTTGAAGAGGAGGAAGGGGAATTGGAGGAGATTGCGGAGGAGCAAGATGAGCCGGAACAAGCGTAGAAATTAGCAGGAGAAGGATGTTGATGATGATGATGATGATGATGATGGTGGTGGTGGTGATGATGATGATGATGATGATGATGATGATGATGATGATGATGATGATGATGATGATGATGATGATGATGATGTTGATGATGCTGATGATGCTGATGATGATGATGATGATGATGATGATGATGATGATGATGATGATGATGATGCTGATGATGAGGCGGAGGAGGAGGAGGAGGAGGAGGAGAAGGTGGAGGAAGAGGAACAACGTACGAAGCTCACCCAGTGGCTCATGGTGAAATGGCTGCGCTCGGGCGGGTTGTTGGGCGGTATCGGACCTCGGGTGGGCCTTTCTGGAGGCCTCGTTGGGGCCTTCCTGGGGCGTTTTGGGGCCCTTGTCGAGGCCTTTGGAGCAGTCTTTGGGCGATTTCTGGAGCTTCCAGGGCGTCTTTGAGCGTCTGGACGCCGAAATAGGCTAGACCGCCGAAGTCCTGCAGAAACCTTTGGAACATCAATGGGTCATGCTTCTTGGGGCACTCTTCGGTGTACTCTTGGGCGTTTTGGGGGGCCTCTTGTGAGCTGTTTGGGGCTTCCTTGGGGCCCTCTTGGGGGCCTTTCGGGGCGTCTTGGCGGCCTCTTGGGGACCTCTTGGAACCTCATAGAGCGTATTGGGGCCGAGGGCTCGAACTGTCCGTGGGGTTCCCGGGTCTCTGGAGCCGTCTGGGAGGCGTCTTGGGCTATCTTTGGCCTCCCGTAGGCCGTTGTGGAACCCTCTTGGATGCTTTTTTTCTGCCGTCTGGGGGCAATCTTGAAAGTCTCTGGACCTGGAGCGTCGGGAGGCCGAGAAGGCGAGAACACCAACATTCTTCAAAAACCATTGGAAAATGTGTGATTGTTGCCTCTTGGAGCTCTCTTGGGAGTGCTCGCGGATGCCTTTGGGAGCGTTTTCGAGGCTTCGTGCACCGTCTCGGAGGCGAGTTTAACTTTGTTTGTAGCCTTTGAAGGCTTTCTTCGTCGTCTTGGAACTGTCGCGGGCCGCTTTGAGGCAGCAGGAAGAGTTTTGGGTGGGTTCAGGGCCAAGGTGAATTCGGCCGGGGGTCGTCCGGGGCCGGGGGGGGTCAAATTCCCGGTTTCGGGCTCCTTGGGGGGGGGGATAATCTCATACGCCTGGAGACCCACAGGTGGTCGGCGGATATAGGATGGTGTGCCCGTGGCGAGCGAGAAGGAGGAGAAACAAGGAGGAGGATGAGGAGGAGGAGGAGGACAGGGAGGAGGAGGAGGAAGAGGAGGAGGAGGACGAGGAGCAAGAGGAGGAGTAGGAGGAGGAGCAGCAGGAGGAGGAGGAGGAGGAGGAGTACGGGAGTATGATGATGATGCTTCTCGATGGTTTCTGAGGGCATTCTTGGGATCAAAGAATGTCATGGACAAGACGCCTCTGTGGGAGGCTGATCGGGGTCTCTTGGGAGGCCTCTCGGCGGCCTCTCGGCGGTATTTGTGGGGCATCTTCGGAGCCTTCTCGGGGGCCATCTTTCGGGGAAGTTTTCGACATGTCAGTTCGGGCTCCCCACGGCCCTTTTCGGAGACTCTGGAACCCTGTCGGGAGACCTCTTGGGCTGTCTTGGGGCCCTCTTGGGCTGTGTTGGGGCCGTCCTGGAAGCCTCTTGGTCTGACTTGGAGCGATCTTGGGGGCCTCTTGGGCCGACTTGGGCTGTCAACCGCCTGAAAAGGCGGTGACGCCAAGATCCTTCAAGACCGACGGGATCTTCAGGCCGCTTGGGATTGATTTCGCGCCGTCTAGAGACTTGTCGCCTATTAATCCCGACTGTTGGGACCTTTTGGAGTTCCATTGGGGCTCCTTGGGGCGCTCCTGGGCCGATCTTGAGGACCCCGAAGACCGTCCCTTGGAGTTCCAGCGTCCGTGACAACGACCGCCTGGGATGGGACCTGGCCGGGAGTGACCTGGGTCCGCCAGGGGCATGTTTCGTCTGGGGACCTCCAGGGTCCGCCACGCGCTCGCGAACTAGATGAACGGTGCACATGCTGCCAGAGACCGCGGCTCGCGGGCGTGTGCACGGCGTCATGCGGCGCATTTTCCCGCCGTGCGCACACGATCAGACTGCTGATTGCTTTTTCTCTCTCTCTCTCTCTTTCTCCTATGCGTCAGACGTCCGCTTCATTTTTTCCAAGGGAGGAAAACCCGACTGGACAGTTGGCGTTTACTAAACGGCCCTGGGCGTTTATTGAACAGCCCTGCCCTGCTCGATTCCCTTTTTGGAAGGCCTCGCGTGTTGGGGTGGTTATTATCGGGGTGGATCTTCTGCCTTCTATTTGCCCTCACCATCCAAGAAGCGCGCATTGGGAATCTGCAGCCCTGGGGGTAGGAGCAGGGGCAGGCACAGCTGGCAAGAGACGCGAACCTACGCGTGCCGCCTCCGCCACCCACGGTCGACGATAGACTGTCCTCCAGCAGGGTTCGTTGCTCATCTTCTCGCGTTGCAGACCATGTTGAAGATGCAACATGTGTGCGAGCGATTTCGCGTTCGGTCCTGTTTCTTTGGGCCGGCCGTCAGATGCGAGCAGAGCACGACCTCAACTTGGTGTAATATGATAAGCAAGGCAGGCGCGTCTGAGGGTCTGGGGCCCAACGCTTACTCGCACCACGATCCTGTTGCTGCCGCCGGTGCGGCTGCTGCTCCCGATCCTGTTCTTTACCCTCCTGCTCCTCCCCTCCAGCCTCTCCTCTGCTTCGACAGTACCCCCTCGAGGACGGCAGGCAGTGGGCTCAGCTGCATGCGTCCCAAGCCCCCCCCCCATCCTGCCCAGGCACCGACGACAGGCTCGCGCACATGCGACACGGCGCCGAATTCGAGGCGACCGGCTTGAACGATGAGCCCAAATGCCGAGGCCGCTGGCCTCGGAGCAAAACGCTGGGCAGCTCCCCATTGCAGTGTTGCGCACATCGAGTTGTTACGCGTCTCTCTCAGGCTAAGGTCCCGCACGGCGAACTTTCTGACCGACCTGCCCCCAAAGTTCCCTTTCCTCTGGCTTTCCTGTCGCAGCCCGCCCGTCCCTGCGGCGGGCCTCTCGTGCCCACCTCCCCCATGCGGTCGCCCGATCTTCCTTGGGAAACCTCGGGGTGTGGCGGGTGAGAGAGGGTCTTCGCCTTCAAAGCCTTCGGGACGTGGCGGGTGAGACAGGGTCTTCGTCTTCAGAGTCCGTTCGTTTCCCACTTCCGTCACACCGTCATTGGGAAGGCCCCATCCGAGGAAGGCCCTCAAGTGTGCGATGAATGGAGGCACGGCTCATCACCACTTAGGGGGGTACATGATGGCATTTTGCTTGGTCCATGAACCACTGTATGCATATGCTTTTCATGCCACCCTTACGAGTCTGAGGTGTGCCCCCTAACTTCTGGTTTCTTTGAAGGGCTCCCCTTTAATTGGTATTGCTCCCTTTCGGATGATTGGAATGTGGCCTACAGGTGGTTTGACGATGCAGTCGTACTCAGTCGCCTTCTCGACCTGCCGTTCCTCCTGCTCTTTCTCCTCGTTCCTCGCGTGTTGGCCTCCTCTTATCTTTCCCTCCTTCTCGCTGTTCTCCATCGTTCCCTTCTGTTCGGGTGCGGCAGACTTGCCGTAACTTGTCGCATTCATTTTGTAAACAGGGGGAATCTGGTTGTGCATTGATCGCGCGCCTTGCGATTACTTCAAACGCTGTCAGTTGCTTGCTTGTGTTGTTGTCTTGCGCTGTGCAGTTTAGCATTCATCTCGCAATTCAGGCGTCCAACCTTCATCGTTTCAGGATGTTCAGCACTGGCGTTCGCTCGCATGCATGCCAGCATGCACCAGTGCAGTCAGGCCGCATAGTAAGGAGGAGCAACGTCCAATGGCTACCCTTGGATCCTTGCCCCTTCGGCCCATCCTTGGCGACTTTCGCTGGCCAGCTCCGTTCGGCAACGCCAACACGGCCCTCCAATGCCACTGCATCCTTACCGCGCATCCTCATTGTGAGACTTGACTGTGCCGTCATCGCCACGTGTTGCAGGGCCGACGCCGGTGTCTGTAGTTGCCCGCTCTCTTCGGCTTGCCTGTGAGGCTGGGAGCCCGCGGGGCCTCATGGCTGTTTCCCTGGTATGTTTGGCTTTTTGCTATGGGGGGCGACGTGGCTACATTGAGCTCATCCTGTTCCTCGGAAGAGAACTGGGTACCAATACCGCTACCCTTCCCTCGTGTTTTTCCATGGGCCTTCTCGGAGGTCCTCGCCGCCAACGCTGGACTCGGCTCGAAATTCTGGTCAGAATGCACCCCTGGAGAGGTCCAGGGAGTAGCGGTATCGGTACCTTTCGGTTTTCTCAGTTCTTCCGTTTCCTCCTCCTCATGATGTTGTTGTTCTTCTTCATTCGCCCCCGTAACGACCCTCCCAGAGGAGGCGAAGGAGGGGGAGGAGGAGGAGGTTGAGGAGGAGGAGGAGGAGGAGGAGGAGGAGGAGAACGCGGAGGAGGAGGAGGAGTAGGAGGAGGAGGAGAATGCGGAGGAGGAGGAGGAGGAGGAGGAGCAGGAGGAGGGAGGGAGGAGTGGCGAGGAATGACAGCAAGGGGTGGGTTTGGAGGGGGAGGGGCTGGGGATGACGAGGAAGGAGGAGGGGGTAGTAAGCTCCCTCTCCTCAGGGTCATGGTGGTCCGACACGTCGACCGCCTCCGACCTCTACAGTGCCCGTGGGGGCCGCCGCAGCAGCAGATCCTCCAGGCTTTCTCGGCCGCCCGCGATCGGGCGTCGTACACAGGGAGGGGGAAGCGAGCAGGAGGTGAGAGTGTGTGGGAGCGCCAAGCTAGCCAGGTCTGGGGCCCAGCCACTCCCACCCTCCCCTCCCCGTAACCTGATACTCAATTGAGGCACACCTTGGCATTGGGACTGGAACGCGTTCCCACCTAGCGAGCGGACGGCGCTCTCGCGCGGTCCCACTTCCGACGACTTGGCGAGGGGAACATAATTGCTCGCCGCAGGCGGGGGGTGGGGCTTTAGAAAGTCCTTGCGCTGCGCTGCGGCGGAATCACACTTTAGCTTTCTCTGGAGCAAGCAATGTTTCCATTAGCGCGGTGAAGACCAAGAGTGCGCCGAGCCGACAGCATTGCCGCTTTCAGACGCGCACACACGCAGACTGCGCGGCGCTTGCGCGAGGACACCATTTCGCCCGCTCTCGCGCGGACCCGCTGGGATTCGGAGAGCGACGCATGCCTCGCGCCCATGCGGGAACGCCACTTCCAAGCGAACTCTTCACGCAACGGCTTGGCGAGTGATAGCTGTGCGCCGCGCCGAGGCGGGAGCGCTAGTTTCAGGTGAACTCTGCGCGTCACCGAGGCGACAGCGACATTTTCGCCTGCTCGCGCGTCGACGAATTGGCGAACGAAGCATATGCGCCGCATCTAAGCGGGAGCTCCATGCTTAGAAAAGTGATCTCGGCGCCGAGGCGAGATCGACAACTCGCCCTCTCGCGCGGGATGTGCGCCGCGCGTCCCATTCCCACCACGCATTTTGCAACATCGACAACAAAGCGTCCACGTTGAGGGGGGGAGGGTTGACTTTGTATGTTCCCACAGGCCACAGAAGGGCGGGGGGCACCCGTCGGCCGGCTAGGTGGCAAATTGGGAGGACGAGCCATGGAGGTGTGGAGTAATGATGAACATGTTTTTTGTGCGGTGGTGATGGTGGTGGTTGTGTGTATGTCCAGGGGGTCCAGGCATGTTTGGCTGAGCTTTAGAATGTCCAGACGCTTGCGTGCGACCCTAGTGCGTGCGCCTTCCTGTCGGCATCCGCACCCACGAGCTCTCGCCCTGCTGATTCTCCTTCTCCCTCGCTATCATCTGCTCATGGAGACTGTTTGGATGACGTGTGCCTCGTGGGCCTCACTCTGCTCTTCACATGGATCGCACAGTTTTGTCTTCCCAGTCGCGTCGTTCGGTGGCTTCTTGTAGCAACATGCACGTGCACTCGGGCGACTCGACGGCCGTCACTCGCTCCTCCGTCTTACGCGGACACCGCAGGCTTGCTGTGGTGATTTGCAATGGTTCATGTTGGAGTCATCGTGCTTGCGGTTGATGTAGGGAAGGACATTTGCAGGGACGGTGCCTCAACAGGCGGCGCGAGGAAGTGTAACCTGCAGTGTCTCGCGGGCCCAACGCGTGCCTGACTAGCCTCCCTTGGCCAGGGGCAGCGACGACCAGCCCTTACCCGACTCCATCGTGTGAGGAGCGCTGGCAGCTGGAGGACCAAACCGCCACCTGCCGCTCGGAGCGCCCAACCATCTGCGTCAATCCCCGCTGGGTGACACGAGGGGTTCTCGGCCTCCATCGGGGATGGAAGCGTCTAAGGGCGCCTATCCCGAGCTGCCTTGAAGGGTTTAGGGGATGGCGCCACGACTACTGAGGACTGCTCCCAAATGCTTCCCACATCACTGAGTTCGCTGCCACGGGGATCCTTCACAGCCGCAGGAGGACCCCAAGAGAGTTGGCACTGGCACTTGCCTGAGGTTCGGAGGGCCCCCCGAGGTCTTCAGAGGTCCCAGGACGACTCCAAGCAGGCCCCAAGAGAGCCCCCCATAAAGGTCAGTGGCCACAGGGGACGGAGAGGGCCGCAAGAGGGTCATGGGCCCAGCCGGACCCCGATGCGTCATCGCTTCGACATGTTACCGGCTTCACCGGCGGGAGCACTGGGAGACAGTCTCGATGTAACCCACGCAGGGGCAGTCGATAGCCTTCCTGCTCTACCCCTTCTCTCCTCGTTCCTCGACCTCCTCAACCTCCTCAACCTCCTCGACGTCGTCTTTTTGGTCTCAGTCCTCCACCTCCTAGGCCTGCTCTTTCTCCTCGCATTCGCCATCGCCATCATCGTTCTCTTCACTACGCTTTCTGTCCCAACGCGTACCCCCTTGTTTCTGGGATCCCTTGCTGCTAATTATGCATAGAGGAAACAAGAAAGAGGGCTGTGACCTAAGCGTTGGCGAAGCATGCCAGTTTCGTGCACGAAACTGGCATATGAGTGAGCGATCTTCGTTTCTCTGAGCCAGGGTCTGCGATCCTTTTCCCCCTCATACTCCGCCATCCGCGGTTCACTGGTGGGAGTATGCTGTTGCCATGTGTGTGTGTGTAGCATGAGGACCTGGTCGCCCTGCGAAGCCGGAGAACCTTCTTTTACACATAGTTATCTGTGACGGTATCCGAAAGCTCTCCTTCAGGTTTTGTCCTGGGAGAGCGGGAGAGAGAGAGAGAGAGAGAGAGAAACATAGACATCGATAGAACTATACGTGTTTTATAAACAATATCAAGAGCGAGAGAAAAAGAGACAGTGAGAGCCTTCCTCTCGCCGTCTTCGTCGTTCTCCTGCCGTTTCCTCTGTCGGATTCCTGGCCGAGCGCATTTTCGCACTTGTCAGTTCGCTCCGCTGCCTAACCTTAACCCATCCCCATTTGCCCGAGTCAGTGCTGGCTGCCTGCTCTTCAGTCCGATGCGACCCATAATTCGGCCCCCGATTGCCTAGATCGGCTCATTCGATTTGGCCGATTCGTTCGCGGCCTGCGCGGTCGTTCCCCCACTGGCGACAGCATCTCGCCTTCGTCGATTCTATCTGATCTCTTGCATGGTCGACTTTCACATGTGCCGCGACCAGCGACGCCTGTGCCGAGCGGGCCTGGCCTCGCCGATGTCCCCCCCACTACCCATTCCCCCCTTCCCCGCAGCCGCCCGCCCCTGGCCTCCAGGAGGGGCCCGTGGCCTGAGCAGCCTGCGGTTGGCGGCCCACCTGCGTGGACGTGCACAGAAACAGTACAGCAAGCCCGCGGGTGGCCGCCGGTGGTGCGCTGTGTGCGCGGCCGCAGTGGAAGCTCGCCGCTGCCCCGCCGACCCGGGCAAGGGGCCATGGCGCTGCTAGAGGAGCTGGAGCAGGAGGAGGAGCGCGACTTCAGGAGGAAGAGGAGGGCCAGGAGGAGGAGATAATGGTACCGGAGGAAACACCCAACCATATTCTTGTTAGGGCTATGGGGCTATAGGACCATAGGGCTATAGGTCTATAAGGCTACAGGGTTATAGGGCTATAGGCATATATATATACACATATAGATACACATATATATATATATGTATATATATGTATATATGTATGTATGTATGTATGTATGTATGTATGTATGTATGTATGTATGTATGTATGTGTGTATGTGTATGTATGTATGTATGTATGTATGTATGTATGTATGTATGTATGTATGTATGTATGTATGTATGTATGTATGTATGTATGTATGTATATATGTATTGTATATGTCTGTATGTATGTATGTATGTAGGTAGGTAGGTAGGTAGGTAGGTAGGTAGGTAGGTAGGTAGGTAGGTAGGTAGGTGTATGTATGTATGTATGTATGTATGTATGCATGCATGCATGCATGCATGCATGCATGCATGCATGCATGCATGCATGCATGTATGTATGTATGTATGTATGTATGTATGTATGTATGTATGTATAAATAAATATAGCTATAGGGCTATAGGGCCATAGGGCTACAGGGCGATAGGGCTATAAGGCTATAAGGCTATATGTCTATAAAGCTAAAAGGGGGACTTTCATGGCTATAGGGCTATAGGGCTGTAGGGCGATAGCGCTATAGGGCTATAGGACTATAGGGCTATAGGGCTATTTGGCGACTGGGCTATAGGGCTACATGGCTATAGGGCTATGGGGCGATATGTCGATTGGGCTATAGGGCTGTAGGGCTATACGGCTATAGGGCGATAGAGCACCCGGGCACCCGGGCACCCCCGGGCACCTCCGGGCACTCCTGGGCACCTCCGGGCACCCGCGGGCATCCGGGCACCCGCGGGCATCCGGGCACCCTGGCACCCGAGCACCGGAGCACCTGGTCCGGCCACCGAAATCGGAGACGAACCTCACCTAACCATATGATTCTGCTAGGACCCCCACAGGGGCAGGCTCTGATTGGGGTGAAAAGAGGAGCCCCGATCCGGTGACTTTCCCCAGGACCAGCTCTTCCTTCTTCGCCGTGTCTGACAGTCCCGGGGCAGGTAGAGAGTTCCAGGGTCGGAGATCGGCGAAACATGTCCAGGACCTTTGTCCTCCAGCGTTTCTTTTATTTAGTCGCTTCGCTCATTCCGCCGGCCCGTATTGTGCTATCGCTGGCGTTTGCTGGCGCGTTCGTGGCCCATGCGGCGCTGTGCTCACATTCAGCCTTCCCCTCATCTCATCTTCCTAACCAGTGGTCGTAGCCAGTGGTCGTAACATGGGCATCCAGTGGCGGTGTTGCCCCTCGCCGGGAGCTCAGTATCTACGCGTATTTTTCTAATCAGGGCGGCCACCCGAAGACATCATTCAGAATTGTTCGGGACGCAATTGGAATTCACGGTGACGACGCGCAAACCTCTGTCCAGCACCATTCCACCTTCATTCATGTTTGTCTTGTTCTTGCACGCCTTGACCTTCCGGCAGTCTTTGTGCTGCCACAGCGGCCGCCCAGCACTTACTGATTTCACTCGCCTGGTGGTCCACATTGCGAGGCCAGTCGATTGCAAAGCAGCATGCTGCGCATCGGGTCTGAAGAACTTCGCCGCCTCAGCGACCGAAGCCTCAAATCTCTGAGACCTAGGAAGGGCAGGTGAGGGACACAGCGCAAAGCGAAGCCTTGAGGCGTCAGGGCACATAGATTTGAGGACTGACCTCGTTGAAGTGTCGAAGCTGGCACAGGCAGCTCCCGCGCCGCGTCGGGGGCTTCACGCGTGTATAGTTGGAGCTTCGGTGCGTCGGCTGGTGATGGGAATCTTTCCATGACCTCCGAAGACGTCTGTAGGACTCTCGTGCCCTCCAGAGTTGAGCAGGGCCAGCCAGCGCTTGAAAGCTCCGGGGCCCGAGCTCACTTGCCGAACTTTTTTTTGCATGTTGACACCGCCTGGGGACCCCGTGACACCTTCTTAACCGCAACCCGCGGATAATCAAGCATTCCAGCCCTTAACCTTTGTATCTGTTCATGCATGGGATTTGATGTGGTTAATTGCCACAACAGGCGGGGCGGCCGAACTTTAGTATCCCCTCCACAGCTCCAATCGTAGCTCTGATCTGTATCCCATGCATCGCACCGTGAATACTCGTTATCATCATTTTGTGAGGACGTCTCAGGCGAAACGCGCAGTTTGGAAGATTTGCCGAATTCGCTACCATCATCCAGACATCCTAACACCGATATCTCCAGGAAAAAGTTCTTATCGCGCCTGGATCCCGAACTTTATTGTCCCCAGGAGATTATTTTCACCAGCATGGGTCACCCATTTCCTGTCCATTCCGGCGCCTTCTTCTCCTCGACCGTGGGGGGCGAGGGACAAGGGGGTGGGGGACGGGGGAGGATTTTGATTGTTGGCTGAAACGAGGGTCTTTTTGTACATTATGCAGCAGACAGTCGCTTGCTTTGAATTCGATACTGGGGGCGCAGGGCCACAAGTGCTTGCTTGACTCATGGCGCGCTCAGGGTGCTGATCGTGACGGATATGTCCGTTCTCATGTTTCCTTGGGCGTCTGTTCTTTGTCATTCCCCAGATCGCCCCCGTGGTTTGACCACCCAGCTGGGCGTGCTGTACAGATGGAGCCGTTACAGGAGATGACTTGTTCAGAAGTTCTTCTGTGTAGATGACTTTGGACGCTTCCAAGACAGTCCAAGGCGACATCTGAAGCGCCAGTTTGGCTTCCAAGACGGCCGACGAATTTGTTTAGGCGACGCAGTGCGTTTCATTACCCCCCTGGACAGCCCCGAGATTACTTCATTCCCCTTCAGGCGGCTCATGCATGCTTAAATATAGCCCGAATGCTCGCAATAGGCCCTCAGCAAGGTGTAAGAGGGCCCAAAGAGTTTGCCGCCCCTCGGGAGCTCACGGCCCGTTTGCTGTTTATTATTTTTCGGTTGTGTTTCGGTAGCCTCTTGGTCATACATAGATCGTGACACAATCCGGCATATCGTCACAAGTGTTAGAAGCGTTCGCGTAGTGTACAGAGTTAGAGGAGGTCATAGTATACTGTTTCGCTAGTGTTGTTCCGACACTAAGGCGTCATTGTCTGGGTATGAGGAGTAAATGAGTCAGAGGAGTGAGACGAGCTAGAAGCATTAGATGAGCCGGAGGACTTGTAGGGATTTGCATTTCTGGACGGGTCCTACCGAATGGTTGCCGAAGACGCCTACGGCTAGTTTCCACCG